GTTTTCCAAGCTCTCCGTTTCTTACTTTCGAATTTCACCTTCAATCCTTCCTTTTGAATCTTGCTTTCTGTTGTTCTCACCTCTTCTTTCCTCACTCAACATCGAATCAATGTAAGGTATTTCAACTTTTTTGTTTTGTTTTGTTTCAAACTGTAAGTTTCGTTTTCTTAGATTCGAAATTATAAAAAGTTAAATATTTTTTTTGGTTAATTTTTGTTTCCACAGTTGTATTTGTTTCAAAGATAATTATATCAGTTGAGTTGGTACTATTTTTGGATTTGTTTTGCAGGTTTTGTTTATACAGAGGCGAGGCCAATTTGACTTCCGCACTCTTTCTTGCCACGTGAGGGTAAACTTTACCTGATTAGGTAATGGACTGCAAATTTGTCATAAGATGTTAAGTTTCTTTTTAATCAAAGAATTTCAAAACATTTTTATCTGTTTATTTTGTTGTATGTTAGTTCGATTGGATTTGAGGTGCTAAAAATCATAAGCTAGATTTTATTTTGGTATAGCAATTTCATTGTCTGCTGTGTTTATGATGGTTTCAACAAATTGGTTAGCTGTTTGAGTATTTTTTTGGGTCCATAATTGTATCTCTTTGAAATAAATGCTGATATTAGTAGAGTTAATGCTGTTTTTGCCTTTGGTTCTGATTGGTATCTCTGGTTGTTTCAGATCTTAACCCTTTTTTCTGAAGAAAAAAAAGAGAGTCGATTTGCTTTCCTATTATTTTGAAGAATTGTTTTCGTTATTGCTTTCAATGCGTTTTGTTCTGATTATTATTGTTGTTGTAGTTGTGTTTTATGATATTCTAACTACATATTTTTAAAGTTTCATCAGTCATTTAATCTTAGTTAACCAATACTGTCTTTTGTGTCACATTGTTTTGTTAAAGTTGTGTTTGTTCTTACATTGTTATTAAATTTTGATATAAATAAGCTTACGTCTCCTTATTTATCTAGATTACTTAGGTAAGATAATATTCTCATGCAACTAATATCTAAGAAATTATTACTTATTTAAATATTTATTTTAACATCTGTATCATAACAATTCTATAATTTATAAAATTTATATATGGTTTGAGTAGACTAAATGGAAAAGGTAAACGTAACTCTCATCTCTGAATTACGTCCGTATACAAAAGCTGAGAAAATAAAAGCTCGTGTGTGTAGAATATGGAAATCAGTAATTCATGGAGCTACTCAAAAATACACATCTCTACACTGCATTTTGCTTGATGAAACGATGAGAAAACAACCTTTTATTTTAGGGAACTTTAACGAAAAACATCCGGTACTGTTCACTTTAACGAAAAACCATATTTTTACACTAAAAAGTCAATCATGATACTATTCACTTTACCCTTTATTTTGTCCTTATCATTTAACAAATTAACATTTTTGTTTCTCATACTCTTTTATGTATTCAATATTCAATGTTAAATATATAGTGATGATCACAACGCATGCATATATACTTTGTTATTAGTTTTACATCATTCTTTCATTCCATAAAATGAACTAGATGTTTTTTTTCCAGCAAAACCCTATAATGCATTTAGATTGGTAATCAACAAAGAAACCAAATATTTTTAAATGAACTTGATTCTGTTTATACTTTTATATAATATTTCTGTTTCTTAATTTTTTAAATATTGCTTCAAATCACTTAACTATTTTCGTTCATTCTATCTTTTCATGTCATTGCATCTCTCCATGTTAACAATTTAAATATTTATTTGAATTTGTATATTAATCTCTTTTTTAACTTTGTTCCTTTTTCTTTTTTTACCGTTCTCTTCATTTACATAACCAACAATAAAGAAGCATGCGGTTGAAGGTTCCACGTCAGACATTGACTGTGAGATTGTAGCGTCAAAATTTGAACCCGGCGGTTGCTATGAAATCACAAATTTTAGGACCACTAAAATAAGAGGGCAGTACAATGTAGTACCGCATGATAATCAGCTTATATTTAGTGGTATAACAGCCTTCAAAAAGCTGTCAAATGTGTTTCCACCCATTCCTCAACATCGTTTCTTTCTACAGGATTACAACACACTTTATCCCCGCTTGAACAATGTTGACATTCTTACAGGTGATATTATTATACATGGTATAGATATATACATATTAAAAACACTGTTTTTTTTTTTTTTTGTCTAATTAATTTTCACAACTTTTTTATATTAACCTTCTTAATTGCAAGATGTCATTGGTCATCTCACTGCACTACAACGTTTGGAACAAAAACAAATTAATCAAAGGCTAGCATATAAGTGCCACAACTAATTGTTCCATGCCATTCCAAAACTTCGGTTACGTGAGTAAAAATATTTACCGGTGTTTTCTTTACACTTTCTTATTATTTTTTTTCAATGCACAGAAAAAATTGTGATGAACAGTACTGGCTGCTCACTTTTCTCTGTTGATCCGGATATTCCAGAAGTAAATGCATACAAATCAGTGTAAGTATTCATACGAGTCTTCAAACAAATCAATGTAGCTTTATCCAAATGTGGTTGCTGTTATAACAGCAAAAGAAATACTAATCCTATCAATTTATTCAAATAATATTACATTTTGAATTCTCTAGGTTTGCAAATTGTAAAGAGCATATAAAAATATTGGCACCCTCCACAAAACAAGTGAATGAGGTTGAAATTTTGCGCACAGCTAAAAAATTAACAATCGATGAGCTGGCTTTTCTAGATCCCGATTTGCACAAGGTATCAAATCGAACTACATCTCTTTAACATTTCTTACAAATGTACAACTACATTTTTACGTTTCCAATAAACATTGTATACATGATTACTATTGCTCATACCAAATTGTTACAAACTATTTTACAGAATGATACATTCCTATGTAAAGCATCTATCAAGCGTTTTGACACACGTAACGAATGGTGGTACAACGCATGCCCCAACTGTGTAAAACAAATGCACAAGGACTTGACAATTGGACAACTCATTTGTCAAAAACATCCAAACCAAACTCCAACTCCTTGGTAATATTTAACATGCACCGTTACAAGTTCATAATAATCTGTCAAAATATTTTTCACCTTCATTTTTTTTCATTGCTTATATAATATAATTATTTACCAAATCTTTTTTGTTTTCACATTTTCACATCTTTGCTCATACTTGCCTAAATGTGATTTCAATATATATTGTCTAGATGAATTGGAAACTGAATATCAGTCTTAGTGATCATCATTTTTCAGTGTTTTCTACATTTGCTATCCAAAATTTTCTTACGGATAACATTTTGCTTAAATTTTGTGATGTTAAAATGAAATTCGGGACCTTTCTCAATTTCAAATTATTTAAACTGTTTTTAAATACATTGTGTTATACAATGCAATCTTCGTCCACATTGTAATCGTTGTTATACAAGTTTACCCATCTCTACAAAATTGATACAACTTTTAGACTCTCCACAATGTTAATTTGATTAATTGTCAACTACAATCTGGTTCTTTTCATTTGGGTTTCGTAAACTTGTTCCAATGTTGTTTATCATTAGTATTCATGCATATTCTCTGTTTCTCATATTTTCATACGGTTACCATAAATAAAAGGTGTTAATGAACTTAATAAACATAGTTATCTTTATGCATTTAACTTCTAAACAAACACCACGCTTTTTTATTTTTCTGTTTTATTTCTATTTATATATATTGAATTTCAGGTTATTTTCCCTCATATACTTTGATTTTTAATATAGGTACAAAGTCAATTTGGTTCTTGAGGATGACACCAATGAAATCAATGCTCTAATAATTGGAAAATCTAGCGAATAACTTTTTGGTATCCCATGCAAGGACTTGGTACTGAATCAAAGATTGGTTGACCAACAACTGTTGCCAAACGAGTTTCTAAGGTTGATTGGGTAGAAAAAAAAATTTCACTTGCGATTTGGGAACAGAAGAAACACTTTAAATTCAAGTGATATTCTTATTTACAATGTGTCTGAGGATACAACCATGGAACCAATCACTCCACAACCATTGATCCAAGAAGTTACAGTATCTTCCACCACCATTTTATCCTCCACTTCAATAGCAGAAACAAGTGGACCATCATATAAACGAAAACGAGTCCAACAGGAAAGCTCTCTTTACCGGTGATGAACACAGGTTCGTATTATGTTCCTTTTGTAATTACCAATTTTAAATCATCATGTACCCATATATTCTAACACTAACTTCCCATTTCAAACAGTGAGTTGGAAGAAATATCAGAGACCAACCTAAAACAATTTGATGAGGTTCCTATCAAATCATTGAAAAAAAAATCGTCTCCAACTGGTGCAAAAAGAGACATCACACCACCAATAAAAGACTAGGTAATATACTTCAGCTTTATCATTTCTTCCACTATAAACACATTTATCTAATATATTTTGTTTTCTTTTCTGTGATTAGGTTGTTTTGTTAATGATCAGCACTATTATACCAAAACTGCAGCTGCTCCACTCAAAATCATATAATATCATCTGTTAATATATGTCAAAACTGTTCCAAGTGTTTTATGACATGTAAATCTCTTTTTCCTCAGAACTTGGCAATGTTTTTTGCATGTTGATACACTAGCGTCTGTTAGTTTTTGGTATTTCATTGCTAGTTCCAGTTGAAAAGCAGATACAACTACCAAACTATGTTAGATGACTGTAATATTTTTTGCATGTACATATAACAGCATTTTGTAATTTTTTGTACCCAAATGCTGGTTCCACTAGAAGAACAGCTAGAACCACTACACTATAATAGATGACTGTAATATTTAAATCTCAGGTTCTCCAAATTGAACTGTTTACCTATAAAGTTTTTCTAACCTCTTTGTTATCTACGATGTTAACATTGTATCACTATTTTTACATTATTTGTAAACTATTTGATATAAATTTTAAACACTGTTTCTCGGCCAGTGTTTTGCCTTTTTTGCCCTCGAGTTGCTCTGTAAATTTAGGTTTTTGTGTGTTTTATACAGTGAAATGGCATTTTTCACCCTGGGCGTCCAACATAAGTTTCCCGACTTCTTTTCCTCGGAAATCGCAGAGAAATCAAAAAGGAAAAAACTGTGCTCTGCACATGATCGGCGATTCGATTCCACTTCGTGAGATCTGTGCGATCTTTGCTTCAGGTTCTTCTTTTAATTGCTATGTGTGTAGCAGCTTTGTTCAATTAGATATCTAATTGTTGATTTTCAGTTAGGGTTTTGAGGATCCAAATATCAATTCTTTGTGGGTTTGATTTGTCAAGAGTTTTGCCTTCTGGGTAGTTCTACCTTCAGCTCCAGAAGAACCTTCAATGAAAAAAGTTACCAGGTTAGTGATTGCTTTCAAAAAGTTACCCAATTGGATTTTTTCTTACTGTGTTCAAGAGAAAGAAGAAAGGTAAGAACTTTCAGCTGAGATAGTGCCTAACTCTCAAGTGTACTGTAATTTTTTATCATTTCCAAAATTACCTTCTATAACAGAGAAAAGGGTGATGAATTTGACAAAGTTTGATGCTTTTTAGGATCGGTAGGCCACCATTTCTATCTGACTCCACAGGTAGTTTTTAACTTTTTATATGTATTAAGTTTTTTTTTAATATAAATTTTGAGTGATGTTTCATTCTTAAGCGGTGGTTTTTTTTGCTTTGCAGTTTCCAGTTTCTATTTGCACAAAGAACTTTCAGACAGGGTATAACTTCTTCAGGTGCGTGCTCTATATATTTCTCGAATTTTGATATCTCAAATCGATATTGTTTATTAGATTTTGCTTTCGATCTGATTCCAATTGAGTTCGATTTCGAACTTGAATTTATATTCGATTTTGATTTACACATGTCCTATTTTTTTTTTGAAGAAATTTAGAGATGAAGGAATTCAAGTTGGAGACTTTGAGTTCAGGTTTTTTCAAATTTGTACAACCTCTTTCTCTATTTTCGTTAAATTTCTGGAATTTTTTGTATAATTTTATGAAGCGTTTAATTTTTTTTATTAATTAAATTACAAATAAGTATCAATGGCCTTCATTTGGTACCAATCAATCAAGTGAGAGATGTGTTGTCTGAATGTTTGAATTTGCTTGAATTAGTCTCTCCAAGTAGGAGAAAGAGAAGGATCTGAATGGGAGCAAGGCACGCCATGGAACAAGCAAGCTCATGAGAATGTTAACGTTCAAGGGACTCGGGGGAGGGTGACTGATCAACTGAAAAAAACTGAGGTATATGGTTTTTCTCTTCGAATTTCATAAACATGAATGTATTTACATCTAATATTAACGGTACAAGGAATCAAATAATTAAAATTTGACCTAGAAAAATATTAGTTAAGCAAGCCAGTTCGCAAGTGTCTGCAGTGCACATATAATATGTTCAATTTCTTGAAAACCGTCTTTATTTCGCATATTAAACTGAGAAATTTGAAAAACCCTGTTCGAGATTTTGCTTGAAATCATGGTTTGGGATTAAATAGCAGGGTCAGATCCAGTATTCCGAGAAGTACTTCAATGATATCTACGAGTACAGGTATGCTCCTTTCTGCTTCGTTTTCTTTCGATTTTTCTTCATTTTTTTATAAACTTTTTGTTTGTTTTCAATGTTGGTACAGGCATGTGGCTAAACTGCTCCCAAAAAATGGGCTTCTGTGCGAGGTAATTTATTAGGGTTTTCACTTTTTTTTATTGTAATATGTCCTTTTGAGAAATGCTTTGAGATTTGTTTGTGTTATTTTGGGTTTTGTGTAATCTTGGAATCTTTCCTTTTTCTTCAGTGGGCTTTTCGGTTTCGTTTACAGTTCTTTTGAGTGTCCATGAATTTTCAATGCTGGATTTCTGTGGATTTTGTTATTTGAAGAGGGAAACTATGGATTGGTTTGTTACTTGGTACATACGTCGTTTATATGCATCAAATTATATACATTCCTCCCTACTCAAATGTTCAAATGTATTCATTTATGTATGTTTGCGCATTCACTTTCGTATATGTGCGTTAACTGCCATATATACAATACACCCATTTAGATTTGGTTAAATGAATAATGTACGTATACGAATTGGTCATTTCACACGTATAGATTGATAGTTAGATTGAATCAAAATTTCGTGAATTGGTCATACACTTTACGTGATTTCTATGCGGGAATGCTGGTGAATGCCTTATTTAATTTCCAAGAAATTGAAGCTGAGAATGTGGTATTTTCCTTTTGCTATGGAGAGTAGTGGATTTTGTGGTGCAGTAAATATGAGGCCCAATAAAAGTGTTTTTTTTTCCTTCTCTTATATTCATCTGTTTTCAATATTGGATTGGATTTGCATTAAGGGTTTTGTTGATCTGATATTATTGATAAAATACTAGAAAACCCACCTGAACTTAAGCACTTTTAGGGGTTTGTTCTGCTTTTGGTTCACTTAATATTCATACCTGTTTATGTTTTTACTTTTTAAGTGTGTTTTTAAGTTTTTTTTTTTTTTTTTTTTGTTCTTTGTAAGAATGTCTCCAACATGGTTTCTTTTTCGCACATCCTTTCAATAATTTAGATTGACTTCACCCCTAGTCCATTGACAGTTACTTTGTAGACGTTAGGGATGGGTCTTCTTCTTCAGCTTAGTGGGCACCGTACCTTTAGCAGAGCGTCTAGGTAATGCGACTGAGTAAGTGCTAGCTTTTTGTTTAAGCATTAAGTTATCTTAACTTTGCTAAGGCTAATTCTTAAGTTTTTCATTATTCTCTTAACTTTATGTTTTTTATTTTTGTAAATATCATTTAGTAATTTACTATAATCTGATTGCTTGATCATTTGATACTCAATAATTTCGCCAGGGCATCGGATGTTCAACTTAACATCACAAGTAAATTGCATTGGTTCTTTCCATTGAATTTATGCTTTGGCCTTGCTCAACTGAAGTCCTTCCCGAGAGACCTGGAGCACCAGATTGTCCTGTAAGTAGCACTTCAATTCTTTATTCTTTTTGCAGAAATAATGCATTAAGCACTTGAACTGTTAATTGATCCTTTTCCATTTGCATGTTGCAGTACTTTATGAAGACTCAAAGATGCAAATTTGTATACCGTGCAAGTTTAATCATCCGAAGGACAAAGTTACTACAACTTTCCATAAAGTGGTTCCAATGATATAGTTTCATATATAATACTCTTAGGCCTCGTTTGTTTGACCTCCTTAGCTAGGACTGGACTGGCTAGGACTAATAACCCATGTTTGGTGCAAGTCGGGATTGAGTTTAGTGGGATTAAGTCGACTCGTGCCGACTAAATCCTTCGTTAGCTGGGCTTAGTGAGAGCCCCCGAAAAGGAGAGGATTGCTAGTCCCGTTTCCCCGCTTCCCCGCTTCCCCTCACTTTGCCTCACCCCACGCCTGTGAACTTGCCCTCCCACTGTCTTTCTCCCCACCTCCCTCTTGTCTGTCCATAAGATCTCTAAGTCAGAGACCCAGAAAACCCAAAAAAAGCCAAAAACCCAGAGATCGAAAGCAGATTCATATAAAATATACCAAATTGAAGCTGGGAGTGACAAAATTACGATTCTACCTAAATCGAGGCCAAAAGGAGGTTGAATGTGGCTGGAAAATGGTATGGAAGTCTCGGCCTGTTTGGGCTTCTTCGAATCCATGACATATTCGAGCATGCAAAGCTAAGATCTTGGTCTAGGGATGGTGTGGAATTTTTTGGCAGTGCCAACTTCATCCAATTCAACGAGGGTTGGCCGAAAAACATGTCGGGAAACCTGCAACTCGTCGGGAAAAATGGAGCTGTGAGGTTCTGTTCGAACAACGCACAGCTAGAGAGGGAGGGAGGATAGAGAAATAGAGATTGGAATCGATAAGGAGCTTGACCGGGAATGAGAGAAAGACAGGAATTGAGAGGTTTGGGAGGAAAAAAAGAGGGAGAGGGTGGGACGAAGAACTGAGAGAAGAGGGAGAAAGTGGGACGAAAATGGTAGGAAAAGATGGAGAAAATGGTAGGAAAAGATGGAGAAAAAGATAAGATCATAATAAAATATTAATAATTTATAGATTAAATAATATAATATTAGAATTTGTTATTATCCAGCTTCTTAGTCCAACATTGCACCAAACGCTTCACTAAGATAATCCGGCTTAATCTAGTCTAAGCCAGTCCAGTTTAGTCCTTGAAGCTAGTCCAGTCCGAGATAGTCTGGCGCAACAAACGCACCCTTACACTCTCTTTTACTAATTTTTGTTACACAATCAATCACTCACAGGGTCATACTATTCATAGAACCCTAAAACCCAAATTTCTCCAGATCATTCCAAAATTCAATGGCAAACACAAAACCCAGATCCCTAAACTCACTCGATAACGTGTCAAAGGCTGGGCATCCAGTTCTCTCATGTTGCTCCCGTTGGATCCAGTATGCTTTTGCTGCTGCCAATCTACAGGTCGTACCCAGTGCACAAGGCTCCCGCTTTACGCAGGGTCTGGGAGAGATGAATGTCGGCTAGCCTTACCCCCATTTATGGAGAGACTGCTGCCAATCTACAGGTAAAGCTTAAATTTACATACAATTTTTATTTTTATTTTTCTTGATTGGAATTTGGGCTTTTTGTTCCTCCTTAATCCCAAAGTTCTGTAATGTATGCAACTTTGATCGAAAGACATGTTTTTTATTGCTAAAAATTGTTAACCCCAGTTTAGGTATTCATTTGCTCATTAAAATTGCATTTTGGATTCCGTAACTGAACCTCCTTGCTCCTCTTTTAACTCTAGAATCTTCAGTATACATGTGGGTTTTGCTTTGAATTTGATAAACCTCTCTGTGTTTGTGAGCTGATACAGGTTTTGGGTACTAAGTCAAAATTTTGTTGGATAGGAACCCATAAACAAGTATGAGGAAGTGTGTGAATCATCACTCAGCAAGGGTGATTGGTGATAGAAATTGGGTTATTCCATTCATTACTGGCTTTATCATATTCATTACCCTCTTTTTCTTAAAAGGGTTTTGGCTCTGGAAGGAGATGGAGATCGGTGACAATGATCGGAGTTCATCGCTGTGTGGATGATCCCAGTGTAGCGCTGGTTTTCAACTGTGGTGATTTGTAGGGTTTTGGGGGCGTGAATTTTGGGGGATTTTGTTTGGGTTTTTGGGTAAGCAATTGCCACCTCTATTCAACTTAAATTTAGTTCCCTTTTTTTGTTTCTCAAATTTGTTTGATGGAAAGATTGTTTTATCCTTTACTAAACAGTTTTTAGGATTAATGGTTTTGATTTCTTTTGAATTTATTTTTTATTTTATTTTGAAGCCCTGTAATATGTATGCTTTTGATCATGTCTTTTATTTTGGTGGCAGTTAGGTGTCACTAGATGGTCTACTAAAGCAGCTAAGGGTATTGAAATCAGTTATGGTTGATTGGTGGTGGGGAATTGTAGAGGGATATGGTGGATATGAGTATAATTGGAATGGATACAAGAGGCTCTTTTAGATGGTACAGGCCTGTTTTATATAAATACGTTTTTTCACTTGCAGAAGCTCTTCTCTCTCAGTGGGCATATAAACACCACCTGTGGTTAATTGTTTTGCAATCTTTGTGGTCCTTTTTATTCTTTCCATGGTTTCCTGTAATGCTTGGCAAAGTTTTGAGAATTAGTCTCTACAATGTGGGAACCAAGGAACTCACTTCCCCTTCATGCTCTGAATTCACACTTAGTCTGGAGATTATATAATCATTTGGGCATGGTTTCTCTCTAGGATAAAGCTTCTGTCTGTCTATATATATGGAATTGGGTTTGTGTAATTAATGTCAAATAATTGAGTGAAAGAGTTAAGCTCTCCTTTTACGCAACAAACAATCCCTCTCTTTTTGTAAACCAATCCAGCCAAACCTTTCTTATATATCTTAAAAACAGTCTGTGATAGCAAAGATAAAAATGCATTTTTTTAATGAAATGATGTGGGTTAGTCAAGTTATATACAAGACTTTGTTGTTGGATTATATTATAGATGAATAATAAATATTATGTGGATTCAGTTGCTTTTTATGCGGCAAGTGCCTTCGTCCATGAGCGGTAGGTCTCGGGTTCGAGACTTGGGAGCAGCCTTTCCATAAATGGGGGTAAGGTTAGCCGACATTCACCTCTCCTAGACCTGCGTAAAGCGGGAGCCTTGTGCACTGGGTACGACCTTTTTATGTGGATTCAGTTGCTTTCATTTATTTTTAAATAATTTACAAATGAGTGCTAAATTTTGATTACGGTTTCAAACCCGCAGCAGAGTGCGGCCTTCTTTGCTAGTCTTTGTCTAAAGGTCGAATTGCCTATGGTATTATCATATTGGGCAACCTCTGTTGGCATATGTTCTTTTCCTCTGTTTATTTGTTCTATGTTTTGTTCTTCTATTTAAGTCTTAATGTCATAATTTTTTTTTATAAAAAATGGTGTCAAAAAGTCAAAAAAAATTTCTTTTTCTTGAGTCGTTTTCTTCTAGTTAGACCTTCCATAAGTCAATGATAATAATTCGTTTTCTTCTAGGTCACAAACTTATTTGAATTGGTTCTTCTTATGTGAAATTTCAATTCTTCTTATGTGAAATTTCAATTGCTTGATATGGTTAATCCGATTCTTACGTGATCATTCTCAAGTTTATCTTATACCAATAACCAATGTCAGTATGATTATCTCTTACTTAGAGAATTGTATGTGGATTTTAAGTGAAAATTTATTGAACCCATGTGAGATTTTGAGCCTCTTGCATATTTTTTCTTGTGAGTTTCATGATAGCGTTATCATTCACTAGAACTTGCTTCAATATCTCTCGAGGCGAAATCTTAAGTCATGCAACACTAGGGAGATGATTTTGGCCATGTTTGGATCGTTTGAGCCTTTCTAACCAACCTTTTATGTTATCTTATCCCTAGTTACCCTTTTGAAGCCAAACACTAAGCCTTTTCTTTCATCACCCACATTCATCCCTACCCATTTAGCCTATATTAGCCATTCCCTATAGCTTAAGGAATACCAAGTGGACATCAAGGAAGATAAAGGTTGGGTTCTACATCAAAGATGTGGTGTATACCGAGGTACCATGTGTAGTGTAGGATTATTTTTATTCTTCTTTGAAGTAAAAAATAAGAAAAAAAAAAAACAGAAAGAAAAGAATCGAAAAGAGAGGAAAAGAAAAAAAAGTGTATATATATATATATATATATATATATATATATATATATAGCAAAGAAGTTAGGATTATTTTTATTATTCTTTGAAGTAAAAAATAAGAAAGAAAAAAAACAGAAAGAAAAGAATCGAAAAGAGAGGAAAAGAAAAGAAAAAGTGTATATATATAGCAAAGAAGTTAGGAAAGAAGAGTTTGAAATTGTTTCATCCCTACATCGTGAGTCCTGGACGCCAATAATAGAAGATCCAAGTTTCAAAGAGGACCGACTGAAAGTACATTATGAAGATACCTTGTTATTTCTTAAGTTTTAGCTACTTATGAAGACAATAACACAATATTGTCATTTGCATAGGAATGAGAGGGAAAAATAAAATTGAGGATATGAATTAGCGGGAAAAAATAGAGGGAAAGTTTTGTTTTTTTTAATTTATTTTCAGTTTTTAATAGTTTTTAAGAGTGAAATGACTTAACTACCTTCACATGTTATGTACATGGTCTCACTTAACAAAAATTTGGATGAAATATATGATAAACTAACGGTAAGGGGCAAATTGGCTAAAAAAAATTAGTTTGAGTCCTTAATTTTCCAATAGAAAAGTTAAAGGGGGAAATCGAAAGTTAAGTGAAAGTTCAGGGGGTAAATCGATAGTTTACTCGGAAAACTAATGAAAATGGGTTGAAAACTTTGAGTTTTAACGATAAGAACAGAATAAAGGGTAAAGTAAATAGTATCAGGATTGACTTTTTAGTGTAAAAATATGGTTTTTCATTAAAATGAACAATACCGATAGCTTTTCGTTATAGTTTCTTTCTTTGTCTGATCATGTGGGGTCTGAAGTTTCAATCAGTTAATTTCATCTGTCATCATTTTTATTTCGTTCTTTCATTTTCTGGTGTGAACGCCAGTTGCCGGCACAAGCAATATTCCAAAAGCATAGCTGTGGACGGTGTACGTGAGCAGCTCACGGCCATTGCTTTTTACGTAGAGGACAAAACCCTAAATTGTTGAATTTAGTGTTTTCATCTAGAAGACATTGAGTTGATAAGTAGTATCGGGATTGACCTAGGGAAATGATTTACGCAAACTCATTTTGTTCTTTTGGACACTCTTATTTGGACTTATGCAAACGTAAATTTCCTAAAACAAATATAAGTGCTGAATAAGAAAAGATGTATACGGATATCTTTCCTTTGATGTTTAATGTAATGTAATTTCACTTTCCTTTGATGTAATCTTATGAGTTATTCATGAGAACACTATATAACCTTGTGGACGAGACCAAATTGGGTGATTCACATATATCATTGAATCATTGTATCTGTCTTGATTGTGGCTCTGGCGTTTCAATTTTGACTTGATTTGTTCTATGCATCAAGAAAATATATATGTACTTTGTTACGAAACCTTATAATTTATTCATGAGTACACTCTACAACCTCATGGACGAAGTCAAAAATGGGTGATTCACGTATATGTTTGTGTTTGTTTTGATTGTGGCTCTGGCATTTCAATTTTTACTGTTGATATGTTTCTATTCATCAATGAAACGTATATGTACTTTGTTAAGAAACTTGTATTTTATTTGGCAATGCTTTTGGAATGGCTGGCATCGTTTTCAAATAAGAAGCACTTTTAGTGAATTTTGGAACAATAATTTAGCAATATTTTTGGATTATAAAAGTACTCGGGTGAACCCATGGTGTCGTTTTGGGGTTTAAACAAGTTTATAAGGTTCACGTGTCCCCCGTGTCGGAAAGAGAGGGGCGGAGGGTGGAGAATGTCGAGGGCGATGGGTCTGGCGGGGCAGGGTCGCAAAGCTCTCAAACAATTCAACTTGCTCAGGGCTTTGCAGTCCGAGATACAATACGAGCTTTCCTCTAATCCCTTTCAGGTTCTCTCTCTCTGTCTCTCTCTCAGAACACTTTCAAATACTTTGCTAGAAAGCACTTGGATTTTCACTAATAATTTTGTTGTTCTTCTAGCAAAAGCGCTTCCAACAAAACAATTCTGAGCATTTCCAAACAAATCCTCTAGGTAGTTGAAGGTTAACAAGCAATGGCTCCACATGTCTGCAGTCCACTGAAATTATGTGGAACAGGAGCACTATAATTGATAGAGAGTAATCTTTTCAAATATAATGGAGAATCTTCTTGACTTTTATTAACCCATCATGCTCAAAAAACATCACTGTTTATTTTTCTTTTTTCTGCAGCAATCATTTTCTACTAAATAAAGGGTGATTTGACACACAAATATACAACTAACAGATTCCCAATGGTCCAATTTAACGAATGATGATCCTCTCCGAATTCTCTTTGTGAGGATCTTTGGAATCTTCGAATTATGTCCGTTTATCGTACATCGTGTGATTAATTTTCGTCAGATACTATTCATATTTAACTTTAAATAGAAATGGTCCATGTGATTGAAAATCAATAGAAATGGTCTCTGAGATTGCCCACTATCTATGACTTTGGTCATTCCGTTAAAAACTCTATGGGTAATTTTCAAAGCTTCGTAACTCAATCGATTATTAACCAAATTCGACCCATAATATATCAAAATGAAGATAGGAAAGTGTAGAAGAAGATTATACTACGGGTGGGCAAACGGGTCCTGGACCCGCGGGTAGGGGCAGATCCTTACGGTTCGGGACGGGTCCAAAAATTATAAATACGAAACGGGACGAGGCGGGCCGGTTTTAAAAATTTGAGAAAACGGGCCCCCAGCCCAGACCGTTCTCTACCCTCTCTACTATCTCTTTTTTTTTTTGTCAAAGATACATCTCAGACCCCCACCCAATTGGGCCAATTCACTCTACTCTTCGTCTCTCCCCTCACATCACCTTCTCTTTCTATCCCGACTCCGACTCTCCTCCCTCGATCTCTCATCCTTGCATCTTCTTTCCTTTCTCGTCTCAGACCTCTCTCAAGCCCAGGCTCCCATCTCAAACCTCAATCTCGACCACTCCTTCTTCTGACATGCTGCAGATGCACTTCTACGAGACCTGTGACGATCAACACAGTCTTCAAGTTTCACAAGCTGCTGGCCGGACTCAACCTTGTTTGACTCGTTGGAGGGGTCGGCAAACATGCAGGATAAGGTGATGTTGGAGGTTTATTTGGGGAAGCAAATCTACAATCTTGGTGGCGTGCGAACGGTTGGACCAGGTGGAGAGGTACAATCACCATCGTGGCATCCTCTCCTAACTCTCCATCGTGGCATCCCTAGGTAATTTATAAATTAGGGTTTCTGATTTAGGAAATTAGGGTTTTTTATTTAGGAATTTAGGGTTTTTTATTTATGTGGGTTTCTGATTTTGTTTTGATTCATCAACTGATGTGATTTGTAATTGCGAGGGTGGAGGTCTTGGATCCGTGGAAAGATGACGTCTTTGGTTCGATTTGCCGATTTGAACAATTTGATTATTTGTGAGATTGATTTGATGTAGTTTTGTGCGTAAGAGTAATGGGTTCTGTTTGAAACTATGGATCTAGGATTTCATGGTTTGCTTATTTCGGGACATGCATGGAAGTTAACATGTGCGGAGTATACATAAATGTTTGTAGGATTTGTTTTTTTGTGTTCTGAGTAGTGCAAATGAGGGTCTAAAATTGTTGGTTTTGCTTTTGCTTCTGCTCAGCATATCGAGGCAGTTCCAAAACCGAATAAAAATCCAAAACCGAATAAAAAAAAAAAGTAATTGGACCCGTGAACTCGTCCCGAACCGGCCCGTTTGAAACGGGCCAGGTTAGGTTCGGTTCCCAAACTCAAAACCCTTCTACCCGGCCCGGGCCGGCCCTAGATTATACCTATTTGAAAGCCCAATGATTGCCGGAGATGGCTGGAAAATAGCCTGAAGGGTGACAAGTCCGCGGGAAAACTGGAAAACTCGTCAGAAACTGGGTAAATTTTAAATGTTCATAACTTATTCAATACTCAACGAAATCGAGTGATTCAAAAACAAAAATCATACTTCTCGATGAGACGAAGATAATGGTACCTTTCTTGACGGCTAACTCGCCATGGTTGTCCAAAAAAGTGCTCAAAAGTGACTAACCATTTTTGAGTTAGCCACTTTCAAGCAGTTTTTCGGCCAAACCACAGAGATTTATCCGTCGATAAATGTATCATTCTCTTCGTCTAGTCGAGAAGTATGATTTTTGTTTTTGAATCACTTGATTTTATTGAGTATTGAAGAAGTTATGAACGTTTAAAGTTTACCCAGTTTCCAGCGAGTTTTCTAGTTTTCCAGTAAACCAGTCACCTTTCAGGCTATTTTTCAGCCATCTCGGATAACCATTGGGCTTCAGAAACGATTGAGTTACGAAGCTTTGAAAATTGCCCGAAGAGTTTTTAGCGGAATGACCAAAATCATGGATGGTGGACAATCTCATAGACCATTCTATTGATTTTCAATCTCAGGGACCATTTCTATTGATTATGCAAATCTTAGGGACCATTTTGGCTATTTAGCATTTTCTAGCCGCACGATGTACAATAAATGGATACAATTTGAGAATCCCCAGGATCTTTACAAAGAGGATCCGGGGAGGATCCTCAATTCAATTTAACGGATTAGGATTCTCACATCGTACATCGTACTGTCAAAATTTATTTTAAATTATTTATTAAAAATTAAATATAAACATTACCTAACGAAAACTGACCGCACGATGTACGATGAATGAACACGATTAATTGATCCTCTAGATTCCCACAAAGAGGTCCGGAGAGGATCCTCATCCCAATTTAATCACTTCATTTCATTGGAAGCATCCACCACTCCTACCGCCAACACTTTTGTCATAATTCATAAGGGCACATCTAGGGATGGGCAAATATCCACGGGTATGGGTAACTACGGTTATCCACCATTTAAAATTCACGGTTATGGTTATGGGTAACTGTTTAAACAAATAAATGGTTATGGGTATAACCATTTACCTGTGAAATTTAAATTGACGGTTATGAGGATTATTTGCGATTATAAATGGGTACCCATTTGACCGTTTATTTTAATAAGTGTAAAATTTAAAGAAAAAACTAAAAACCCTGAAATTAATTGGGATACTAATCCAATTTACATTTATGTAGGTCTTTTTCGGTGACAATGAGTCGATGAGACTTTGTGATTAGACAGACTAAAGCATTAGAGTACTCGAAAGTTTAGCGCTATAAACTATGTGGTAATGGGAATTTGGAAAGTTTCAACATCTTTGTTTTTTGATTAATTTTTGCTAGTTATACTTGTATGGATTAGAAAAGACTATGATACTTTACAACATTTAAGCTCAAATCCGTTGAACCGAAGCAATCATGATCGTAGGTAGTAGCCCCATTGAACATGTCCTAATCCTTACTCATACCTCTATCTCTACTTGGGTTTTGGATAGGTGATGCCCAAAGGGTTTTCACATTGTTGAGCATTGATGAATTTGAACAAACCCGTAATACTACCAGAAGCTTTGACAAACAATGTTCAAGTCTTTTCCATACATTGCTTTATCTGCATAAACTTAGTCCACAATGGCAGCTGATGAACATTTTATTTCTATTTACCTATAAATGGGTAAAAAACAGTAAACGGGTAAATGATTAAATGAGTATCCGGTTACGGTTACATGGGTACGCGGTTATGAGTACGGTTAACTGTTTATAAATGGTTATGGGTATGAAAATAATTGTTTATGCAATTACCGAACGGGTAAACAGTTATGCAGATAAAGACTTAAACGGTTTTGAGTAATACCCGTGGTTACCCGTCCTTTATAACCATTGTTCATCCCTAAACACACCTTGTGGAAGAGGTGATTGGACCCACAAATCTACAACTTACAGATTCCCAATGGTCCAATTTAACCACCTCATTTCATTGGGAGGAAATCACTAGTCCTACCCCAACACTTCTATCCTAATTCATATGGGCACACCTTGTGCAAGAGAAGAAACATAAATAAGGTCAACGATAAGGTCAGCTAGTAAGACAAATGTCAGTGAAGCAGGATAGAGACTTACATTTCATCCTCGACTTTTAAATAATAATATAATGTCAAGCAGAAAGTTAATATATAAAATATTGTATTATTGGTCAGGATATGCGAGAAAGTTAATATATAAAATGTCTTTGGATGTAAGTCTTTCCCGTCAACTAGCCAAATCACGTGTCCCATAATTGTGATCAATATAGCAATTCATTTGCCTTGCTCCTAACATTTCAGAAAGGAATTGGATCATGTTCTGAGCTTGGGCTCAGGAGACTCCTGATCAACACATAAGAGCCATTGAATTTTGATCTAACGGCTACAAATATAAAGTCCTTTAAAAATTATAATAATTGTAACTGCTAGATCAAAATCTAATGACCCTTATGTGTTGGTCATGAGGCTCTGACCCCAAGCTTAGGACAAGATCCAATTCCTTTCAGAAAAGTCTTTATTTATTTGGTTGGTACTTTTGCAAAGTGGTTGAAATTATATAAAAACAAAGGCCATAACCTGGGATATTAGGGGTGGTTAGTATGAGATCTCAAATTGAAAATGGGATCCCGAATCTCAAACCAAAAATTTTTAGGACATGAATTTGAAGATCAATCCCGAACCGAAATTTCGGTATTCCTAATTTTCGAGATTCCCGAAATGTTTTCGGTATTTCGGGATTGGATTTTGGGTTTTTGGGTTGAAATTTGAGATTTTTATTGGATGTGGGCTAAAATTTGGGTTTTTTTTACCTCATATTAATTTAAGTTTTTTAATTGAAATCTAGCCCACATAAAAAAAATCTCAAATTTTAGGTTTTTTTATCTCATATTAACCAAATGTGGGCTACAATTTGGGCTTTTGGTATTTGGAAATGTTCCCCAATTTCATATTAAATGAAATTTGAGTTTTTTTATCTCATATTAATTTGAAATTTCACACCAATTGAAATGCCAACTCATTCATACTTAAGCCAAATTGATGTTCCAAACTACTTAATTTCATACTTCTATTTCTAATTAGTTTATTATCAAACCACTTAAATTCAACATTTAACATGTATGCAACCAAAATAAATATATATATTTTTCAGTTTGGTTCGGGATTCTCGAACTATTAAATATGTAATCTCAATTCTCGTGCTAAAAGGTTCGGGATCAATTCAATATTGATCCCGAAAATTTTGGTATTATCGGTTGAGGAATTTTTCAGAATGGGATTGGGATTTTGTTGGTTTGGGACTTTTCGGGAAAATTTTCTAGCCATAGATATTTC